CCACACTAAACGAAAACACACTCTAACTGATGTTTTTAAAGCCGAACTAAAATAAAATACAAACTTGCTAAACACTTTCCGATTTTAAACACTCCAATATTGTAAATGTTGTAGTTACAAATCGGTTGCAAGATATAAGAAAAGGTGCATACAACAGCAAATTAATCCAATACAATAGCAATACAAACTTTAAACAGTAACGCTTTCGCTCGCTAGCGAAGAACTTCTTTAGAAGGAATGAGAGGGGGCATTTAAACAGGATATTAATTCTTTCTCTTCGAAAGCCTTCATTCTGTGGATAAAGTCCATCGAATGTGATATCTTCGAGACGTCAAAGAGATGCCACTGTGCCTGCCCGGTAGGATTCGCATGGTCAGCGTAGAATTGTCCTCCTCCCTCCCTCCCTCCCTCCCCTCCCTCCCTACCTCCCTCCTTCCTCCTCAAGGCGCACGGACGACACCGAAGTCCTTCACATGTTCGCATAATCAGCCTCCTCTGGCTTTCCAGGAGGACAATGGGAGCTTAGCAATCCCAATTTCCGAACAGTGCTTAATTTGAAAGGCCGTGTTTTCGAAACTTCTGAGATGACTTTTATTATCCTCTCTCCTTAAGATGTGTAGAAGAGGAATTTCACCACATTGATTTGGGTGTGTACAATTGTTCGAATAATTAGGAACCGCCACTGCGAATGAGTATACACTCTTCAGCACAATATCGAACAGGCATTTCATATCCCTTTTGATTTTTCTGTGGCCCGACCAACGCGGATTTCCCAATTACATCGTTGTTCAGAAGTTTCTAAATGGTGATATGAGGCGCTCTCACGATGTCGCGGCGTACTGCAAGGTGCCGTGTAAACGATAGCCTCAACGTCTGTGACCTCGCATCTTGTTCTGGAGTTTATCACCACCGGTGCAACAAGTGACAACCTCCATTACGTGATCCGATGACGTATTTCTGGCATTAATTTGCATATCCTGTGGTGGTTTCCACTGCCCAATGGACGTTCGATTTTAACATTGTTTATTGAGACTTTCGTTTTCTTGGCCTACCTTTATACTTTTATTGTATAATTAATTTAAGATGTGTTTATTAAGAATATAGATAAGATGGTTTTAAAATATTTTTAAATAACACAAATTCTACTATTTTAAAAACATTAATAATCAGGATATGTCAATAATTGTAAGTGGTTCCTAGGTAAGAAAGTTTATTTAGAATAAAAGTATATAAGGTCTCGTGAGTGTGTTGGTTTTTCTAGATATCTAAACTTCTCTTGAGCTCTCGGCGTCTCTTCGCCATTGTCATTGGCCCCTGAATTTTCAATTTTACCACATCGGTTCAGATCTGTTCTCATCAACCCAAATGGTATTTGGACATATGTACAAACGGGTTATGTCATGTTCTATGACGAAAACTGAATAAAACAGGCCCAGTTGCAATCTTTTGCACAGTGCAGCAGAGTGGCGATTTGTCGGCTGAAAAAGTCGTATTGTTGGCTCTGATACCGAAAAAGTGTGGATGTGTTTCAATGTTTGACTGACACCTACACATATATTTCAGAATCCAATAAGATACGCGTGCGGATTCCAAGACGGCGAAAGCAAGCCAGCCACAACGATCGACAATAGAATGCGTTTTGTCCAGCTCAAGAGGCGCTGACTTCAAAAATCTTATGTCTTTCTTTCGTAATTATAGTGTTCCAAAATTTTTCATTGGGTTTGTAACTAAATGAATGTGGTGTATTTCATTTCAAAAAGGAAACTCATTAATGGTCACATTTTTGTGGCAATCATTGCATTATTTAAATTATCTTTATTAGTGAATATAGTTTTGCGACAGTTTTCTTTACACGACAAAAATAATTTGAGTTTTTGGAAAAATATCGGATTCTACATTTTAATTTTAGTAGGTAAAGACGTATAAAATGGCGATGTTATTTTTCGAAAACATTTGTTAAAAAATTCTCCTAAACATATATACTTTGGTTTCTTTTACAATAATAGTAATTTTCTAAGAGTATATCTGAGGTTTTGCAGCACTCGGCAATCTAATGAGAAAAGTCAAAAGCCCAAGCGCACTGTTAACGAACACCGACGAGTCCAAAATATTCTACTCGCCAAATGAAATTCTTAATGAAATACGTGGTACAATTAGTAACTTTTAAATGTATGCGTCAATTCCTTGACCTAGATTTTACGTGTATTTTTAAATATTTTCGATCATTTTTGTGTGAAGAAATTTGTGTTGTTAGGTGATGGCCTAAAGATAGAAATAAAAATTAACATACTTGTTTTTTGATATTTTACTTTGAGTTATAATGCTTTCATGTGAGAAAGGATGATTTGGAGAATATTAGTTTAAAGCGGATAATCTGGCAAGGTTCAAAACTAAATGTGTGCTATATATATAAGGAAATAAGGAAACAATTGTTCTACAAATTATTAAAGAAATATAGCAAATCTAATGCCCATTAAAACAATGTGTTTGTTGTTTTCAGTATGGTTCGATGCGGACGCAGGCGCCCGGCCCTCAACCGCAAGTTGCGATGGATCCCTACCTCCTGCTCGCGAACGACCTGAAGGACATTTACACAGATATTCGACGGGTACGTATTAAATACGTCGTGCGGAGCAGGCTATTTTCAGGAATACCAAAACTAGTGTGAATAAGAGTCTTCAGACCATGATAGTGTGGTGGAAGGCTTCCGCATTTCTGTGAAAGCACGGCGTATCTCTGTCAGTATAGACATACGACACGTGCAAGTGATGTAAATTTTGAAATTTACTTTTACGTCTACATAAATGAGACATTTCAATGCATTTTTAACACGTCAATTAATTCCATGCAGTCTGATAAAAAATATTTTTCTTTACTTTACTCACATAATGAGAAAAGGAGTTTTAATTTATTGCTTTATTACAATGAACGACAATCTTGGAAAATACTTGAAAACCTTCATCGACTTCTTTGAAAACATTAAAATCTGATCCTATAAAATATAATGTAGTACCTCTGCTTGTCTGATTCTCGTATTATTTCAATATTTTGATTAGGCGATCTCTCTCTCTACACTCAGTTCATTCATTTCTATATGCATTTTATTCTCGGCGTAGATATACTTGCTCGCAAATCTCTAGTTATTTTCGGATAATTTCTAGGGAGATTTCGTATTGTAATGACACATTGCTTTCATTGTGATTTTGGCAATCATCGGTGGTTATGAAAAGGAAGGAAGTTTTTATCTAATCAGGACAGTACAAATTACGATACAAAAATGAAAAAAAAACGTGTTATGGTATAATAGCTTTCTAAGAACAGATAGTTGTGGATTTGTAAGATTATTAAAAATGCAATGAGAGATGTTTGGTGGAAGGATCTGGATAGATGAGACTATAACATAGCGTAGCATATAAACAGTATGAAGCAGTAAATCAGTGAAGGAAGGTGCTATTGAAATTAAAAACATTGGAATTGAAATATAGTAGTATTTTAACTTTCAGAGGAGTTGGAAGAAAGGAATCCAAATTCAGGAGAAAGACACGTGTAGCTGAATCTGTTGTTGGGTGTTCGAGTCCGTTTTAAAAATTGTATCGAACATTAACCCAATTTTTAAGACTTTTTTATAGAATAGAGCAAAGTGCACTTATAAAAGTGGGATAGAAGCAATTTTAATAAAGCCTTCTTCCATAACTATCTGTCTGTTTGCTGGTTCTTGAACACAATTAGCACCTGATTTTCCACGAAATGAATATTCCCGATCTATCTAGCTAAAACAAGGCCCTCTGAATTTGAAATGGATTTTTTTATATTAGGGGCGGTATTAATGAGGAGTTACAATTTACTCCAAAATTGCTCTTTCACCCCCCTCGAACAGATAAATGTGCGCGTATAAATATGATAGAAATTCGATTTACCTTAAGTAGTCATCACAATGCATTGACTTCCATGGCAGAAGTGTCATTTGAAAATTTGTGTTGTCGATAACTAAAGCCAATCATATTTTCATTTCCTGCATAATTTTGTGAGTTTTTTCAAGAGATGGTAGAAGTATTCGTAAGATACAAGTTACCAAACTATATTGCGTAACGGTTACAAATATGTGATGTCGCGCCATTAGTTTTAATATTAATTAAAGACGTCCAGTCTCATTTCAGTATTATCTAAACCACCTGATATATTCACCTGCATGTAGTCTGCTTTTTGTGATTTTGTAATGTTTCCAATTCTCATTATGTCTTCTTCTGTCTTAATAAATACTTGTATTCATTTGTTTGCGGCCATTCTCTATATTACATTATCAGTTATTCAAAAGGAAACTAATAACCATATTGTCCTGAGATCTAGGTTAATTCATATGCAGAAAAATAATTCAATCGGCAATGAAACGAGTATAGAAATTAAAGAAACACGTACATGCTTATTGCAATGTAATATGCAAGTATGTTTGAATTTGCTAAGAATTAGCTTGTTGAACAAGAAGTTCATTTGAATTATAAACGCAGTCTCGCTGAATCGATCATCATTGCAATTATTTCTCGACAATCATGAAGTGTATTTTTTTGTGCAGAAGAGTCTGTCTTTTATTAGTCTTAAAATTCCAAAGGATCTGGGGTTGTTTGTTTTCCACCGACCGCTGTCTCAGGGCACAGGAACCCAGAAACGTCCCCGCATAATGGCTCTCGCTTGACATTAAAGCGTCTTGCCGTAGGTGCGACGCCCAAGTGCTGTGGAACGCGACCTCGGAGCATCATCAGGCTCCAAGGCCACCTTGCGCCGTGCATTATTCATTTGCTTCCGGATAGTCACGCCACAGAAGCCACTCTTTCAGTGGATGATTTAAGGCGATATTTTTGTCTCAACCCCACTTTTCAAATTAAAGTTAAATCAGGTGTCCTTGGCTTTTTGTGACGTACCAGAAAAAAATTATTTCCCTTTCAATATAACATTATGGAACCTTCTGCTTGTCTCGGAGAAAATCTTCAACTCAACCAGCAACCACACACATTGCGTTAACTTAATGAGTCTTACGCGACTAACATAAAATTTTCGGCTGTATTTGTTGAGTTTCAAATTTTTTGTGGCAAGTTGCCAAAGAAGGTAAAATGTTACATCAGCTTTCTCGCGAAGTGTATGGTTCTCGTCGTGCCCGTTGTATCCGTTAACCGCTGGATTGCCATCATGCGATTTAAGATGATTTCTGAATTTGCGTTTCTTGCTGGTATTGCGTAAAGGTGAAACCACGCGCTGCGGAAGTCGCTCAGGTGCTAGACAATTTTTGTTCGCAGTATAAGTTACGTTCGTTTTAAATTCTAAACACTGTTTCTACACACTCTGAAAATTATGAATATGGGAAAATATTTCTTCCTCATTAGAGCATTGGTTCACCTCTCACTTTATTTGATCGACGTTTTCGGTTTGAGAATTGGACAAAAGTGAAATATTTCCCTTATACTCATCTTGAAACGAGCAGTATTTATATTACATTTAAATATGCTTGATAGCTTTTAAGTTTGATAGTTATTGTCGTAAGGCAATAACGAACTGGGACGAAGTTTGTAAACCGAGACGGTACTTGATATTGAATAGAGACTTCGTTTGTGTGTGTGTGTGTGTGTGTGTGTGTGTGTGTGTGTGTGTGTGTGTGTGTGTGCGTGCGTGCGTGTTATCGGTCGTATGTGTTTAAATATTCGTAATACCACCATACAAGAAATATTCATAAGAATAATAAAAACTTTTGCTTAGAGGTACTCAAACGCTTTTGCTACAACTGATTTATTTGCTTATATTTGTTTTGAAATATAATTAACAATTCCAGGTCTTTGAGAATGACTTTTCATTTCTATGATTGCTTTATGTCGATGTAATTGCAGACAGGCTTACGAAAAAATTAACAAAAAGTATTTGCTGTTGTTTCATTTTTAGTTATCTATTGTTTTCAGTAAAAAAAATATTTTTAAGGCGTAAACAGAAAAGAATATGGTCCTTAAAGTTGTATGTGCCTCCACGCTAAGTGTCTGGTTTTAAATATTATCAGGCTAAATTATTTAGGTATATTTTGATTTATGGATTTTTTTCAGATTTGTAATGTAATTAATTACAAGTACATGAATGAAATTTCATTCAGTGAAACAAAAAGACATTTGTGTTGAGAATAATTATGAGAACAAGTGAAAATTAACTTTATAGCTCATCACAATCAAGTCAACAAAGTATGTAAGAGCATTATCTTAAAAATCGTGAGAGCGTGCAGGATCTTCAATTAAATGATAATTTCTTGAAGATGTTTCCGTAGACGTTCTTTACGTTCTCCCTATAGGCCTTCGTCCTACCTCTGAACGCGCAACCACCACACTTTTAGATGCTACATTTTGTACGAGACGAAGTCATTCGTGGTTGCCCGGGTCTTTACCTATCCCAATCGCCGCCTCTGTTCCATTCCGCATTTCCCCTCCACTCCACGTAGCTCCACGCCATTCTGCACCGGCCTGCTTCACTTCACTCCGCCTGTCCTGCTCCGCCGCGCCCCCCGTGCCGCTCTCCCGCAATCCTTTGAAATCACCTCGCCCGCCGTCACCTTTCCCTGATCACCTTGCCCTGCCCCTCCCCGTTCCAGCCTTCCCCAGAACTGCCCTGACAAGCTCCTTCTACCAGCAGAGTTCTGGAGCCAGAGATGCATGATATCAAAGTTTGTGGAGAATACGACAGAGAGATCCACCGGATAAGATGGTAAAAACTTCCCCTCAACTAAATGACATATGACACTATAACTCTAACTTAAAAATAATATTTTTGAAAAGTTTCTTAGCCTCATTTCCACCACCCCGTATAGCTAAAACCGTGTTTTTTTATTTTATTTTTTCGTCATTTGGTTGAGTGGAGCTTTTTTACCATCTTATCCGGGGGTACCCTTTGATGTACAATTTTGAATCGCGATTTCTCGATTCACTTTTTCTCGGTCGCCGCTCAACGTATTTGTGCAAATTTTTTTGTAAATGCTTTTCGCGTTTCATAGTTATGCTGAAACCAACGCACAGTTCCTTTTATATTTATACATTCATTTATTTATATATAATATTATAAATTATTTGTTAACTTAATTGAAACTTTTAGCGAAAACTATTTGAACATTCTTGAAAACTTTCGCTGGGTGGCATTTTGAAGGAATTATTTTAGTTTCTACATCTTATTAAATGATTCATGTACCAGGAAAAGCTTAAAATATTAAAATTCAGTAAAACACTTTATCACAGTCATTTTATTTCTTCTTGTAAAAGTTTCTTTTTCATCGAACTTGTTTCGATACTTTCTTCTGTTGATTTAGTCTTCATCTCCTTTCAACACAATAAGGCACTTCAGCCTATTCGGAATGACATGCAACAGATGCAGCTTTTTGAGACGATAATGCCATAGTAGTGTAGAGTTTGATGTTAATATTGTATTGGAAAATCCGTTACTTTGTAATTCCTAGTAGTTGTATGCCTGTGTAATTCATATTCAGTTATTGCTTGGCACATACTACACATTCTTGCTTCTGCATGATTAATCTGTCTTTAATGCGCCAATTTCGTTATGCCTTGACATTCAAAAGAGCAGACATACTCACCG